GCCAAGTACTCGAATAATGTGTAATACTTATTTATGTACGCATGTCGTTTTTTTATTATGTTTAATAATGTTATAAAAAATAGAATTATAATAATGAATTAGATAAATCGAAATAAAATCATAGCTATTAAAAAAATTAAATAAAAAATAGCTTAAAATATACTGGTAAAGAACAAATACTATGTATGTATGTACATATATGGCACCAGAAGCCTGCAAATAAACACATCCTGTTAGTGCCGTTTCACATTGGGATTCAAAAGAGTCTGATGTTTTTCAAATTTTCTTTTGGTGCCGCTCTGGGCATTCACACGGTCAAAAAGAGTCCAGCAACTCGAGTCTAGTTTTTCTGCATTCCTTTTCACAAAATTTTCGTAAATATTTGTGCGGTTCGACTGCGCAACACTGCGTGCTGCGTATTTCATTTGTATGTTGAGATGATGGTCACACATTTTGCTTGCAATGAATTACCATGAATATGGTAGAACAATATGCATAATAAGTACCTACCCGCTAAATAGTTTCAAAGAAATACTAAAGACAGAATTTCTAATCCCACAGAATGTATTGAATATCCGCTACTAATATTTTCAAGGCAAATTTATAATAGAATTTCTAATCTTTACTCCATAATCTATATCTTAATTTTCTCTATTTACAATTTGTCATAATATTTCTATTATTCTATGCATACGTATTTGCATATTACATACAAAATAGATAACAGAACTCAAATTTGCGATCAGATTCATTTGAAACCAGGCGCTCTTGCAACCATTCAAAGAATTTGAAAGAAAGGAATGCTGAAAGGGTAGCACGCTGTTGCGAAAAGAACACAAAGCGTGCCACCCGAACACAGTGGCACGGTCCTTCGTCTTTCCTCGTCGTCCCTCGCCCACAATAAACTGGTATGAGACTCTTTGAGTCCTGTGTGAAACACAAAGCGTGCCACCCGAACACAGTGGCACGTCCCTTTCTTCCTCGTCGTCCCTCAACAATAAACTGGTATGAGACTCTTTGAGTCCCTTGTGGAACACTTCAACAAATTAACAACGCAATTGTCGTTCTATTATGATCTTCGTAAGTCACAAACTTGCCTTACAAGTATTTTACGATGACGCAGACCAACGTATGCATTTCAGATATCAAATTTGGAAACACACTTATGTTCTCGACTTCACTCCAAACAATATTCCATTTAAAATGAGTCGTTGTGAAATACTATGTATATAAATATTTTGAAATGCTTGATTAGTTTTATCTAGTAAATTCCATCAAACGTAAACAAATCACTCTACATATGTACATACATATGTAGATAATATAAATTAAATAAATTATTGCGCCATGCTATAATCGTAATCGTAAATTCGTACCAAACATGATTTCGAAAAATTATTTACAACCCAATGTTCTGAAGCTATAGCTCTTTCTGTGTTGACATAAGTAGTATAAGTAAAATATTGTATATATTAATGTATACATATATGTATATATACATACATATATGGTATATCAGTAAATACAAACCTGGATTTTACAAAAAGCAGGCAAATACTTCCGGCACCATTAAGGAACTAAGACTATGTAGACATAAAGGTATATTTGAATCTCTGAAATTAAATAAATGATTTCACGAAAAATTATAGATTATATAATTTTATAGAAAATATATTTGCATACTCATTTTACACATATATATGTACATGTTTATATATTATATATATAATATCGATATGTCAGTACGTCTATGTTTGTTGCAACAAAATTATCAAAATTGACAAATACATATGTGTGTATAAGCATATCCAAGAAGGTCGTGTGAAGATTGCAAGTCTAACTGCTCGCCCGTTTCGGCGAAATTTTCTTCACCGACTCTGAGATAAATAAAATGCAAAAATTTGTGAAAATACTGTAAGTTAAAATATTCTTACAAATACGGTTATACTTGCGGAGTATTTGCTGAATCAACTTCAAATTTTCGGAGAATTTTTCAAATATAAGTTAATACAACATTAATATCAAAATAAATACAAAATGCAATTCAGCAATTGTCAAGTTATGCAAACGTTTACGAAAGACTTTGCAAATAATTTACTTTTGATTTTCAGAAATATAATTTCTCAAAATTCTTCATAGAGTGCAACTTTACAAATTGACAATCAACTTTTAGAACTAGTCATGAAATGTAAAATAGAATATAAGACTATAGAGTGTAATTGACGGGCAGTTTTATTTGGATAATAATAAAGTGCGGTCAATTAGTACGTGCTAGCTGAAGTTAAAACAAGGACATATCGCGTATCTATATGGCATATTGCTAATGTGTGAATATGTATATATAAAGCTGAAACTAGAGAATAGGAGGAAAATATTCTATATAAAAAGAGTGCTTAAAATGTCAGATCCTGTTAACCTGATAAACTCTCTCTAAACCATACACCACCTAATGCACAAATTGGTTAGACGAACTAAACTCCTAATAACAAACATAGCGACCGAAATATTTACGCAAGGACCACAAATAGTACAGGCAACACTCAATCCTAATGCGGGAATATAATTTCTGACCAAGTAATAGAAGAACAATTTAGAAATAATCTAGGAGATCTTGACAAGATTCCCGACATAGTAAAATGCCTTCACGAATTTTCAGGATGTCAGGGGCGAAATTAGTTCATGGAGAAGAGTGTCAGACGTGTCCTACAAATATATGAACACACAAAGGCACCATATTATGGTATGTTCATGCGACTTCTAATCCCGCGACAACTAAGTGCCGTTTCAGACAGGGATGCAAAAGAGTCTGATGTTTTCAATTTTCTTTGGGTGTCGCTCTGGGCATTCACACGGTCAAAAGAGTCCAGCAACTCGAGTCTAGTTTTCTGCATTCCTTTTCACAAATGTTCGTAAATATTTGTGCGGTTCGACTGCGCAACACCGCGCAACACTGCATGCTGCGTATTTCATTTGTATGTTGAGATGATGGTCACACATTTTGCTTGCAATGAATTACCATGAATATGGTAGAACAATATGCATAATACAGAACCTACCCGCTAAATAGTTTCAAAAATACTAAAACGGAATTCCCTAATCCACAGAATGTATTGAATATCCGCTATTAATATTTTCAAGGCCAAATTTATAATAGGAATTTCCTAATCTTTAGTATTAAAACTCATAATTTCTTTACTCATAATCTATATCTTAATTTTCTCCTTATTTACAATTTGTCATAATATTTCTATTATTCTATGCCATACGTATTTGCATATTACATACAAAATAGATAACAGAACTCAAATTTGCGATCGAATTCATTTGAAACCGAGCGCTCTTGCAACTCATTCAAAGGATTTGAAAGTGAAAGGAATGCTGAAAAGGGTAGCGCGAGCTGTTACGAAAAAACAAAGCGTGCCACCCGAACACGAGTGGCCGGTCCTTCTTTCCTCGTCGTCCCCCACAATAAACTGGTTTGAGACTCTTTTGCGTCCCTGTCTGAAACGGCACTAAGCTCACAACCCACCGTACAACATCATACAACACAACATAACACAATGCAACAT